ATTAAAAAATAAATAAATACAAGTGTTGCATTCATACTGGAAGGACCACAAATACGGGGATGATAATAAATTTTTCCACTTTGTGCTATATTTTTCCCTTTTTGTGTGTTTTTATTTTTTCTGTACCATTTCTTTTCTTTTCTTTTCTTTCTCTTTCTCTTTCTCTATTGGAGAGAGAAAAAATAAAAAAATAAAAAATAAATAAATACAAGTGTTGCATTCTTATTGGAAGGACCACAAATACGGGGATCATAATAAATTTTTCCACTTTGTGCTATCTTTTCCCCTTTTTGTGTGCTTTATTTTTTCTGTACCATTTCTTTTTTTTTCTTTCTCTCTCTATTGGAGAAAGAAAAAAAGAAAAAAAGAAAAATACAATTGTTACATTCTTATTGGAAGGACCACAAATACGGGGATCATAATAAATTTTTCCACTTTGTGCTATCTTTTCCCCTTTTTCTGTACCATTTCTTTTTTTTCTTTCTCTCTCTATTGGAGAGAAAAAAAGAAAAAAAAAATACAAGTGTTGCATTCTTATTGGAAGGACCACAAATACGGGGATCATAATAAATTTTTTCACTTTGTGCTATCTTTTCCCCTTTTTGTGTGCTTTATTTTTTTTGTACCATTTTTTTTCTTTCTCTCTGTATTGGAGAGAGAAAAAAAGAAAAAAAAGAAAAAGAAATACATGTGTTGCATTCTTATTGGAAGGACCACAAATACGGGGATCATACTAAATTTTTCCACTTTGTGCTATCTTTTCCCCATTTTGTGTGCTTTGTTTTTTCTGTTGCATTTCTTTTTTTTCTTTCTCCCTCTATTGGAGAGAAAAAAAATTAAAAAATAAATAAATACAAGTGTTGCATTCATACTGGAAGGACCACAAATACGGGGATGATAATAAATTTTTCCACTTTGTGCTATATTTTTCCCTTTTTGTGTGTTTTTATTTTTTCTGTACCATTTCTTTTCTTTTCTTTTCTTTTCTTTCTCTTTCTCTATTGGAGAGAGAAAAAATAAAAAAATAAAAAATAAATAAATACAAGTGTTGCATTCTTATTGGAAGGACCACAAATACGGGGATCATAATAAATTTTTCCACTTTGTGCTATCTTTTCCCCTTTTTGTGTGCTTTATTTTTTCTGTACCATTTCTTTTTTTTTCTTTCTCTCTCTATTGGAGAAAGAAAAAAAGAAAAAAAAGAAAAATACAATTGTTACATTCTTATTGGAAGGACCACAAATACGGGGATCATAATAAATTTTTCCACTTTGTGCTATCTTTTCCCCTTTTTCTGTACCATTTCTTTTTTTTCTTTCTCTCTCTATTGGAGAGAGAAAAAAAGAAAAAAAAATACAAGTGTTGCATTCTTATTGGAAGGACCACAAATACGGGGATCATAATAAATTTTTCCACTTTGTGCTATATTTTCCCCTTTTTGTGTGTTTTTATTTTTCTGTACCATTTCTTTTCTTTTCTTTTGTTTCTCTCTCTCTATTGGAGAGAAAAAAAATAAAAAATAAAATAAATAAATACAAGTGTTGCATTCTTATTGGAAGGACGACAAATACGGGGATCATAATAAATTTTTCTACTTTGTGCTATCTTTTCCCCTTTTTGTGTGCTTTATTTTTCTATACCATTTCTTTTCTTTTGTTTTTCTTTCTATCTCTGTTGGAGAGAGAAAAAAAGAAAAAAATATATATATATATATACAAGTGTTGCATTCTTTTTAGAAGGACCACAAATACGGGGATCATAATAAATTTTTCCACTTTGTGCTATCTTTTCCCCTTTTTCTGTACCATTTCTTTTTTTTCTTTCTCTCTCTATTGGAGAGAGAAAAAAAATACAAGTGTTGCATTCTTATTGGAAGGACCACAAATACGGGGATCATAATAAATTTTTCCACTTTGTGCTATATTTTCCCCTTTTTGTGTGTTTTTATTTTTCTGTACCATTTCTTTTCTTTTCTTTTGTTTCTCTCTCTCTATTGGAGAGAAAAAAAATAAAAAATAAAATAAATAAATACAAGTGTTGCATTCTTATTGGAAGGACGACAAATACGGGGATCATAATAAATTTTTCTACTTTGTGCTATCTTTTCCCCTTTTTGTGTGCTTTATTTTTCTGTACCATTTCTTTTCTTTTGTTTTTCTTTCTATCTCTGTTGGAGAGAGAAAAAAAGAAAAATATATATATATATATACAAGTGTTGCATTCTTTTTAGAAGGACCACAAATACGGACTCACTATTTCGAAGCATTCATGGACTTCACAAAATGAACTAAACTCTTTGTTCTTTCCTTTGGTAGTGCCGCGGCTATAGAGGGAAAAATGAGAGACTAAAGCTTGTTCAAATAGGCAACCTAGAAGCCTTGCCATTACTTGATTGCTGGTAGGTTTCGATCACATTAAATGAGAGTAAGGTGGTGATTTGTTGTCATAGGTTAGATTGCTTAATTTAGGGACAAGAACATGATGTCAATTTCCTTGATTAAGGAAATTGATTGCTTGATTTAAGGAATTGATGATGTGTGACTAATCGTCATTAAAAGTTGCTTCCTTGATTTAAGAAACATAATTATTTGATTGATTGACATATTGTCATCAATTTGCTTGATTTAGGGAAAGTGATTGACTACTAATCATCATAATCCTAACTTCCTTGTTTAAAGGAATTTGACTGGTTTGACTTAAGGAAATTCGATTTGCATTTAATGGCTTGAAAATCAAATAAAATCAAATTCATTTCCTACACCTAGACCGCGGATTTTAAATGCTTGGAAGGAAAAGATTTTCTTTAATTTTGGACCATGATTTATTCCTTAAGATTATGGACCTTTAACCTATTAACCTGACCTAATTTGTGCCTATTTTTCCATGATTTTATGACACTTTAAATTGACTTCTTAGAGCTTGTTTTCTCTAGTAAAACCGTGGGCTTCTTGCTTGTAGGGAAAGAATTCTAATTTAATTCCTAGTCATATAGTACTTCTTTAGGTTTATTATGTCATGGCCTTACTTTGGGCTTTAACTTGATTTGGGTTTCATTTACCTTATTGGACTTTACTTTATCATATAGAGCTTTCTCTGTATCACTTGGACTTGTCCACATTAAATGGAATTAAAACTTCCTTTGTTGGGTTATACTTTGATCCATGAATTCATTGGATCCCTAATGCTTATGTCTTTGGTCCATTGGACCCATACTTCTAATTTACTTAATCATAAACTATTTCATCTGAAATGTCTCGTTTATTAATTATCATAATTCTTCATTAATCATGATACAATATTTAGGGTTGTTATAGCCACGACCAAGTTTCCCTTGGCCAGCTTCCATCTAACACTACCGAAGTAGTTCACTAACACGGCATCATCAAGTTTGTCTACCGAGATTAGGTTCAAACGCATATCAGGAACATGCCTCACATCCTTCAACACAAGTCGGCATCCAACATCTGTGGTCAGAGTTACATCACTGACACCAACAATCTTCCTGGTCACTTGATTTCCCATCTTCACGACTCCAAAATCACCACCTCGGTAAGAGGAGAAAAAACCTTTGTGTGGAGTAACGTGAAAGGAGGCACCAGAGTCAACAATCTAGGTGCAATCATCATATGCAACATTCAAATAATTATCCTCACCAAGGAGGAATATCTCAGCATCAGGGTTTGCAGCCACCGTAGTGGTGCTCTTGTCTTCCCTCTTCTTGGGAATAATCTGATCCGGCTTCACAGAGCCGTTCTTCTCATCATTCTGTAGGGTCCAGCAGTCTGGCTTCTTATGGCCTGTCTTTCCACAGTAAAAGCACTTCAACTCATATTTCGGCTTTGACCGACCTCTGGACTTGTCTCGTCTGTCACGACCTCTACCTCGGCTTTTGCTTCTACCGCGGGAGTCGGATTTCCCTTTGTTCTCAGCAACGTTGGCCTCAGACGTACTCGAAGTACCTCGTTCTCTTCTCTTGGATTCTTCGCCTAGGAGGCTGTCTGTCACGACATCCATCTTCAATTTTCCATCTGGAATCGAGTTATTCAGGGTCGCCACCAGAGTATCCCAGCTTTCTGGCAGCGAGCTCAATAGCAGCAATGCCTGCAATTCTTCATCAATTTTCATATCATCCTTTGACAGCTGATTCACAATACCTTTGTAGGTGTTCAGGTGTTCAATCATGCTCATGCCGTCCTTGTATTCAAGTTTAACAAGTCGGTGAACCAGGTGTGCTTTGTTCCTGGGAGTCTTCTTCTGAATCATGGACTCTAGCTTCGTCCACAACTTATACGCGTTCGTGAATTCGGACACGTGCTCAGAGAGGCTTTTATCAATATATTTCCTGATCGTGGCTACCGCCTTCCGACTCAGGATCTCCCACTCCTTATCAGTTTTGTCTGCCGGTCTCTCATCAAGGATAATGGGCTCATGCAGATCTTTGCAGTAGAGATGATCTTCCATCATCGGTGTGACATCCCGCATAATTAGGGACTTCTATAAATTATAATTGAGAGTGGGTATCATACTTGAAAGTCGAATTAAAATTATGTTAGAGTGAGATTTATGTAAGTTAGGAAAATTATTCGAATTGTATTTGTAAATCAGTGGTTATATATATATATACAGATATTTGGAGTATTCAAAATTACCGTTAAAAAAATAGGATTAAACTAATATAACCTACGAAATCTTATAAAATACCTAGAAGACATATAAAATGATAATTACTAGATTATAGTAAGCAATTTTCTTTAAGAGACGTTAGTTGGACCCTTTGTTAACCCTTAAACTATCTTAAAGAAAATTCTAATTACTGGTGTAAGTACCCTAAGAAATCTGCCCTGCCGTCCATTTCACCCAACGAGAAAAGAGAAAGTTTTTCTGCATGCAATCCGATTGGTTGATGACAACCTCATCACCTAGCGCCCAATGAGGGTAAAGGAAATTCTATTATTTGTTTTATTTGGGTTGTTTGGATCAGAATTAAGACGAACCCCTTTTCCCTCTCTATGCGTTGATTTGAAGGCAACAAGTTAGCCTCTATCTAATTTTTCCTGAATCCAATTAAGCCACACATCCTCCTCTTGTTCCTATATGCACGGCTGAAGATCACCCAAGCAAAAGGATTGCCCTACTTTAGTTTAGAATCAGATTATCCTCTCATGTTTTTCCTCACTGCCGCAATCCACAAGTAATATAGCTCAAAGAAAGAATTTCATTGCATTCCCTTTTCTCACATACACAAACCGTGAACTACCTTGAAGGCAAATGATCATCCAAATTTCTATTCTTTTTCCACTGCATGTTTCGGCTGAGTGGAGCAATCAACAAGGAGATTTGGAATATAAGCTCACACACTTCTCTCCCTCTCCTTTCGGCTGAAAAACTCCCAAGCAAGGAGGTAGGCGTTTGTCTCTTTGTGGTTGTTTCCTACTAGATCGGTCCTAATCCAGTTTTGTTGTTTTTTTTCCACTGCATGCTCAAGACTCAGCCATGATTGAGTCATTATTTCTCCTTGCATGCAAAAACAAGTGAGTATCATCCATCCTGTTCACCCTTGACTTCTGCGCATGAGTTATGTGTGGGCTGTTTTTTTATTTTTGTTCTCTGTTACGATTTCTGAGTGGTAGGAGTGTGAGAGTGAGAACAGAACCTTTGGTGGATGTCCCATTCAACGATGGTGAAACAAATGGGCACTTGAAGTGGGCACAAATCGTGAATTGCTCCTCCAACCCCCATTCAATGTGCGGCTGTGAAGGTAAGCTTAGGAGGAAATATTCTGTCATAGTTCATCTCTGCCATTCTGCCTTGTTAAGTATCAACGTGATCTTCTTTTGTGTGTAAGCAAGAAAATGAAATTGGAGTTTGGTAGATGGCCCCACACCAATTTAGGAACTACTTCTTGGATTAAGTAAATTGAGGAGCCTTGTATGTAATTATAACTGGCAGAGGCTGCATGTTTTAAGTGTCACTATAATACACTAAGCCTTGTAGATAAAACTTAGTAAAGGATAAGCTAGTAGCGCCTGGTTGAGAGCACAAAACCGTATTTGCAGGTCTTAGAAAACTTGATTTTTATCATTGTCAATGTGTGGTAAACTAATAACAAATCAGAAAAAAAAAATTGTGTAGGCAGTGAAGCACCTTGTTGTTGGCCAAACCGAAATTTCATGTGTAGGCCTTTGGAACCCTTTTATTACTTGCTAGCAATTAGTAGGATAATTTATGTTGGCCATTTCCCTCTCTTAATTCTGTCATTTTGGTACAGCCATAGGACTTGATGCATATTAATTCAAAGCTGAATTTTGTGAACAGGGACATAAATATCTAGATTATTGGACTGCCCTTGTAACTAGAAAAATAAATGAACAGCCTAGCATGTTTTATTGTATGTAAACAGAATGCTGAAAATTATATGGATCATATGTAAATGGTCTATTAGCTTATGCCTAGGTCAAGCTAGTAGTATTTTGTTGACCGAGAATAAATGTACTAAAGAAGGGCCTAAAAACCGTGCATGTTGTGTATAGAAACCTTTGATTTGTCCATGACTAAACCTATAAGAAATTAAAGTGAAATCAGAAAAAGATTTGAACAATTAAGTTAGAAAGTAAATCGGTACTTGGAAGCATGGAAAATGTAGCTTAAAATCAGAAAATGAACTTGGTACGGGAAGTATAAATTCTGAATGGAACCTTGTGTTTTGTAAATGAATGGAAGTAAAGAAAATCTGTTTGGTATTTTGATTAGGTTCATAAACCTTAAGGATGCCGGATGGACTTGGGGGCTGTTTTGATTAAAAATGTTAAAGACTCGAGGTATGTGTAGGCGGTATTACCTAATGTGATTATTGGCTAGTGTATGGAATTGTGATGTGTTGCTCACATTTGTTCTATGTATGTTATGATGATGATGAGCCAATGGTAAGAATATGAAAGGATGATATGATATATGCATGCATTTTACATCATAATACATTTTCTGTTGGGTGCGATTGCATAACATGGCATGTATACTTGATTCATGATATAACAACCCTAAATATTGTATCATGATTAATGAAGAATTATGATAATTAATAAACGAGACATTTCAGATGAAATAGTTTATGATTAAGTAAATTAGAAGTATGGGTCCAATGGACCAAAGACATAAGCATTAGGGATCCAATGAATTCATGGATCAAAGTATAACCCAACAAAGGAAGTTTTAATTCCATTTAATGTGGACAAGTCCAAGTGATACAAAGAAAGCTCTATATGATAAAGTAAAGTCCAATAAGGTAAATGAAACCCAAATCAAGTTAAAGCCCAAAGTAAGGCCATGACATAATAAACCTAAAGAAGTACTATATGACTAGGAATTAAATTAGAATTCTTTCCCTACAAGCAAGAAGCCCACGGTTTTACTAGATAAAACAAGCTCTAAGAAGTCAATTTAAAGTGTCATAAAATCATGGAAAAATAGGCACAAATTAGGTCAGGTTAATAGGTTAAAGGTCCATAATCTTAAGGAATAAATCATGGTCCAAAATTAAAATCTTTTCCTTCCAAGCATTTAAAATCTGCGGCCTAGGTGTAGGAAATGAATTTGATTTTATTTGATTTTCAAGCCATTAAATGCAAATCGAATTTCCTTAAGTCAAGCCAGTCAAATTCCTTTAAACAAGGAAGTTAGGATTATGATGATTAGTAGTCAATCACTTTCCCTAAATCAAGCAAATTGATGACAATATGTCAATCAATCAAATAATTCTGTTTCTTAAATCAAGGAAGCAACCTTTATGACGATTAGTCACACCTCATCAATCCCTTAAATCAAGGAAGCAACTTTTAATGACGATTAGTCACACATCATCAATTCCTTAAATCAAGCAATCACTAAATTTCCTTAATCAAGGAAATTGACATCATGTTCTTGTCCCTAAATTAAGCAATCTAACCTATGACAACAAATCACCACCTTACTCTCATTTAATGTGATCGAAACCTACCAGCAATCAAGTAATGGCAAGGCTTCTAGGTTGCCTATTTGAACAAGCTTTAGTCTCTCCTTTTTCCCTCTATAGCCGCGGCACTACCAAAGGAAAGAACAAAGAGTTTAGTTCATTTTGTGAAGTCCATGAATGCTTCGAAATGGTGAGTGTGTTAGTGAGAAATACCTAATTGTTCCAAGATCAAATACAAGCCTGGATCTTAGTCATTCTTCCTAATAATTCCACCAAAGAACCCTTCATCTCTAAGCAAGAAAATCCCTCTTCTCCTCTCTTTAAGCTTGCGGCCTTGTATGTTCAAGGAGGAAGGAAGTTCATTCAAGAAGATTCAAAGTAGTCAAAGGTCAAGAAGTGTTTCCTTAAGTCGTTGATCATCATCAAAGGTAAGCCTATGAACCTTCTTGGTTAGGAATGACATGTAAAAGCATGAAAGTGATATCCTAAGTATATGATCCCTAGAAGGCCGAACCATGTATGATAATTATAAGCATGAAGAGATGTTTAAATGATATGAAAGATGATGAAATGATGATGTTAGATTAGCATGTTTAGTAGCCTAGGTTCTAAATCAATTTTGCATGATCATAACCTTAGTTGGCCGAATATATAAGATGATGTTTTGAATGATGCTCTAGGATTTAAATATGATAAATTATCAATAATGTTAGAAGCATGTTTTAGAAGTAATCCCTTAGGTATTTTAGGGCAATAAGGCCGAATGCTATGTAGCTAAAAGAGGTTTTATTTGATTAATGTTGAAAGGATCTAACCATGTTAAGTTAATAATATAATTGAAAGCATGTTTTAAAAATTATATTCCTAGATGTTTATCTATGGTGGCCGAACCTATACATGCCTAGAATGAAATCTTTAATAATTCTATTAAGTGTTATGATGACCTAATAATGTCCTAAAACCTACACAAGTGGGTAAGTAAGCAAAACAACTCCTCTAGGTAATTAAACCTGCAAAGCCGAAACCTATACATGGATAAAACACAAATGTTGAATGTTATATAAGTAACTAAAAGATGATATGATGATGTTAGGGAGTCAAGGGAGCAAACAGGCAAGTAAAGAGATCAAAAGTTGAAAGTATACAAGTAAAGAATGACAAGTACTGTAAGTGTTTACAGTTGTTGAAGTAATCTCTCTATGTATGCCACCATTATGAAACTATGATAAGTTATGGTCTGACTGCAATATGTTTATAGTGCTTTACATTATGTGATTATGATATTTTTGAAACTTAAAACCATGCTATTAAATGTTGGCCTGTGCACTGATACTCCAGTTGCAACCTGACGAGGACTCTGGGTATCTCCGTAAGTCCGTAAAAGCCGGCAGGAATATGATGATGATGATGATGGCATGATATTTTTATATGATGATGTTAAATGTTCCATTTTGTATTGTTATTATAAACTGTTGCAGGAGTAAGCGTCATAGTTGGAGAATGCTCCAGCTGTGAACCTTACTGAGATTTTCCCCAAAATCTCACCCCCCTTGACCACCCATTTCAGGAAAAGATGAAAGAAAGTAATAAGAAAGTTATGTGGGAAAGAAAGGGTAAGAGACTGGTACGTAAAGAAGAAGAAACTCCACCTACCTGGGAAGAGAAACTAAAGGATCTAACAGATAGAGGCCTATGGACTGAGGCTATGAAATTATTAATAGAAGCTTTTCCACATTATGATTTCGATGAAGCACTAAGTACACAATGGCTAGAGGAACCACAACCACATTATGACTGGGCTTATGATGCGGCATAAATTATGTTTTTATTTATGATTAGTTAATCTTTTTGGGATTACATTAAATAATGTTTAGTGTTATTTATTTTGTATTGACGTTTTAACGCTTTTAATTTTATATGGAATAAGTATGGTTATGTGTTTCCATTCCGCACTCTGATATTTGCATTCGTAAAGTTTAAATTTAGACTTCCGCACGTTGAATGCATGATGAAGGTGCACCCTATATGTATTTACATTTGGGGTGTTACACATGACATCTTGAATATATATATATATATTTGTATTGAGGACATGTGACTGAGCATGCATCATATAGGCATGCCTGGTACCAGGAGAGGGGATACTTGGCTTCAGTCCGCATAGGTTCCACAGTGGGATTCACCTTCATTGGAGCCATTAGGAATACCCACTGTGATGCTACGCGCACGACGATGATATGAGCGTAAAGGAAAAAGGGCGTTATATACGCGTTATGATATATGATGAAAAGGATTAAATGTTTGAAGTGACTATTTATGATTTTGTGCCTAGTTAATATTGTTGCATTATGGTTTTGTTGCCACACTACTGGGATTTTCTCTCACCCCTTTGGGGCTGCTATTTTTGCAAAATGGCAGGAGGAGGTAAAAGCTTTTGAGGACTTGGATATTTGCTGTTGGCTTCTACTGTTTGGGCATGCTGCTATTGATGTGATATTTTATGGATGACTGTATGAAATTTGAGAAGCTTTTATTACTGTGAACTATGATTTTATTATTGCATTACGATTTTATGACCAGCAAGTATTTTGGAAGCAGATGTTGAAACGTTTGCGAAAATGATTTTGACATGTTATCTAAATGCTAAGTTTTGAAAAGTCTTTGCGAGCACTTTGTAAGTTGTCGTACTGAGGCTACGGACCTCCGATTTTCTTATAATTTATATGCACGCGTAGCCCCAGGTGTCTAGTTTCATTATATATAAACCTTGCAAAGAAATTCTAAAAGATCGATTTATTATGAATTTTACCAGCCAAGACATTTGTGATATTTCCACTACTTTCTCTCCTATTTTGCGAGTTATGTTTCGAGGGGAAAACGAACTCCAAATCACTATTATTTTATATGAACGCGAAGCCCCGGATGTCTAGTTTCTAGATTACAAAGAATATGTTTTTGAATCGTTGAAGTGAATTTTATACGAATTTTTAAAGACAGCAAGGTCGGCAAGGAAAGTTATATTTTCAGTAGTTGAGAAATTTTGAAAGTATACTTTTATTTTGTGACGAACCCGATTTCAACTATAAGTTTCAATTGCCATTGTAAAAGTTATTTTCAGTCTCTAAAATATGATTAAAGAACTCTAATCCGCTTAGCAAACAACTCTCTTGGATGCATACAAGGGAGGGTGTTACAATCGGTCTCCAATAAGTGAAGTTGTTTGCGGTCAACTTGAACATATCTCCATCATGAGTTATGCCACTGGTCTCCATCTCGTCTCCTTCAGAACCCGTCGAACTCGGGCTCTGATACCACTGTTGGGAAAAATCGGTTCCCTCAAGCTCGGCTAAGCAACCTTAGTGCGGAAGTCAATCAACAAGATCCTGATCTCGGATCTCGGCAATACCTCGGCCTGATCTTCACCAGGTCGGGTAGCGCAGCGGAAAATCAAAACGAAAACACAGGAGAGAGAGAGAGAAGAAGACAACCAGATTTAACGTGGGAAAACATTCTCCAATGAAGAAGTAAAAACCCACGGGACCTAGTCCAGATCAGAAATCCACTATGAAAATAATGGTTACAAATAATCAAATACACCAATGTGGTGGTTAAATCAACCTCTCCAACAATGGTGATAATCAAACTACCCTAGAGATGTTTCACTCAAACTCTCTCTAGAGATCTCTCAAAATGCAAAGCATAAAACTTTACTCAAATAATTTTTCTCTCAAATTTGTTCTCTCAAATCTGACCTTTTTCAAATCTAACCTAGCCTCCACCCTCAACTAATGAGTATATATAGAGGAGGTGGAAATTAGGGTTAGGGTTTTTAGGAAACCCTTCAAATGGGCTTGGGCTTAGCATCGAAGGAGGAAGCCCAACAGCAGTGAGGTTTGGTATTCAGATACTGTGGTATTCGGATACTGGGGGGAAAAGTATTCGGATACTTGGAAGTATGCGAATACTTAAATGAAAGTAATCAGATACTTTCTGGAGACAGGGAGTATTCGATGAGTATTCGAATACTCATGCAGAAACATCTTGAAATGAGTTAAAATGAGTAAGAAAGTCCTAATCACTTAATGTAATCTTGAGCAATGATTATTGATGATTAATTATGGTATGAACAGATTGTGATTGTGCTATTTGTGGGCCTTAAGCCTGTGTGGACTCTTGGCTTGGATAGTTAGCTTGCAAGGTAAGCTTTCGTGTCCTCGGTTTAGCCATTGTGTGGTTCCACCATACCCCATGGGGGAATGGTTTATATGCATGCTGTGTTTACATGCTTTTATACTTGAAATGCTTTGACACACATGACATGATTATCTGTTGCATTGCACTGATTTGGAAATGATATTGTTAAACTGCTTTTGAACTTATATAACACATGTAAGTGAGCTTGGGTGGAAGATCCTTGAGGACCCCTTGTCTTACTGAGATTTCTTGTTTAGAGATCTCACCCCACGTTTGGGGACACTTATTTCAGGTTCAGGTAACTCGGGGGTTGAGACCTCGGGCGGCAGGAGGCTGGAGCTGAGTTAAATTATGCTATTATGATGTTATCATTGCTGGATGCTAATTATGTTTTCCCGCTTTATTTATGGATTGTTGTTTAGCCTGTTTCTCCCTATGCGGTTGTTTGAGCGGAGACTCTTTGTGGGCTTTGTTGGCTTATTTGGTGATCATGGGGTTTGTTCATGCCGCTTTGATGTTAGTACTTTCTAGTTTGAGTTGTATAAGCTATCAGGGTTGTCCGGTCTACGTGTTGTAGTTCCGTAACTAGAGACACATTTATGATATTTATATATTGAGGTATTTCAATTAGCTGTTTATTTGCAATTTACATACAGGCAATGTTTTGAAAATGATTAAGTAATCAAGTTGGTAATGAATAATGACGTCATAATTGAAAAGAAAAAGATATTCAGCAATTTTAAATTAAGCTCGGCTTAATACAATGACATGTTAACAAACCGGGTATACACGGGGTGTTACACCACCCTTCTTCTTCACCAAACCATTGCCTTTTTCCTCCATAGAATCCCTCAAGACGCCACTTTTACGATGGATTCTTCACCTCTAGCTTTATAGAAAAAGTTAGCTTCCGTATTTACTGAGCTGCGCTTAATACCGTAACATGATAATAATCCGGGTATACACGGGGTGTTACAAATTCCCCCTTAAATCCCTTTCTAAACCTTTCTCCAACTGGACGAGGTCTCCTTTCTTCAATCTGCCCTCTTCCAGCCGGTCTATCCGGCCTTCTGCTTTGTGTGACTTCTCGAAAACCATGTTCAATCTCCTTTTGGGATGCTCAAAATTCTTGTAAGTGAATATACTTTCGAGTACTTTCTAACAATTCTTCCTTTGTTGCGGGCCTCTTCTTTGCCAAAGAATTTGCTAGGCCACCTGGTTGTAAGCCAGTAGTAAATAAAAATAGGTACGTCTGATTCTCCAAGCCTCACTTGTCTGGCTTCTGATTAAAAACGTTCGTAGTACTCCCTTAACTTTTCCCCAAGTTTTTGCCTTACTCCACATAAGTTATGAGTAGTTTTGGTTGTGGTCCACAATGTGCGAACTGCTGGACAAATCGCGTCGCCTACTCGGTCCAACTATCAATTGAATTCTCTAGCAATGTGGTAAAACCCTCTAGAGGTTGATTTTTTAGAAAAATTGGAAAGGTTCTACAGAATAACGAATCTGTTTCGCCACAAAGCGACATTGCTGCTTGGAAGTGTTAGTATATGGGTGTCCTAGAGACAATCTTTTATTAAATAAGGACATTAAATGTAGACCTTTATTGTCGCAAATAAATAATAAGCACTCTTTATCCTGTTTCATATCATGTCTCGATATTATTGTTAATATATATTATGAATAAACTGGATAAACCCCTTGGAATAGAACAGGTATCTCTTGAGTATTTGTGATGAGAACACAATAATGAGGATTCAAGGATACCGTACATTTATTTCTAATTTTATGTTCCTAGTCTAGAGACACTGAGAATGAGGATCAGTGATCTCGGATAAGACTAGCACGACTTATCTACTTGTATACGGATACAAGGTAAAGACCTCATGTGCTACAGATATAGAGATGTCTTAGCTAAAGTCGTGGATGGACCTATAAGGGTATAGCTCGCACTGAACAGACCCACAAAGAGACTCTATGAGGAAATCTCACAGAGAGTATCATTATAGTAGTCTCTTTATATTTGGGTATGTCTTTCCTTAGACCAGAAGTTATTACCTAGACTGTGCTCTTTCAGGACAAGCCCAACAGTATACCTATGAGTCTCCATGTTTCAGGCAGATGTTAGTATATGGATGTCCTAGAGACAATCTTTTGATTAGATTAGGACATATGTAGACCTTTTATATTGTCGCATATAAAAGCACTATTTATCCTGTTTCATATTTTGTCTCAGTATTACTATTAATATTTATATGAGTAACCGGATAAACCCCTTGGAATAAAATAGGTATCTCTTGAGTATCTGTTCATGAGGATTCAAGGATACTGCATGTTTATTCCTAATTTTATGTTCCTAGTCTAGAGACACTGAGAATGGGGATCAATGATCTCGGGTAAGACTAGCACGACTTATCTACTTGTATTTGGATGCAAGGTAACGACCTCATGAGCTACAGATATGGAGATGTCTTAGCTAAAGTCGTGGGTGGACCTATAAGGGTATAGCTCGCACTGAACAGACCCACAAAGAGACTCTATGAGGAACTCTCACAGAGAGTATCATTAGAGTAGTCTCTTTATATTTGGGTATGTCTTTCCTAAGACCAGAAGTTATTACCTAGACTGTGTTCTAGAAGGCATGCTTTGATTGTGCACCTCGTCTGCCTGAAACATGGAGACTCATAGGTATACTGTTGGGCTTGTCCTGAAAGAACA